AATACCAACCTTGTTAAGTGTGAGACTCCAAATTATCCACAACTCTTACTCACACATAATGTCAGGGAGGCTGGATTTTTTTGGGGATATTGAATGAATGTTCTAATTATTATAGTCTACTCACATTGTAAGTATGTAAGTGAATTATAAAAGTCTTTCATTGCTCTATTACAGAACCCTTTCAGTATCTCAGTATTTCAGTCTTAGTGCATGGAATGGCTACATTGACCAAAACAGTGTTTTTCACTTGTTCCCATATTTGGGACAGTGAACTTGTTGGTGTCATTACCTTTACCACATAAAGCACCTTAAGGTGACCGTTTTTGAATTGGCGCAATATAAAAACGAATCACATGGCATAAAAATTGAATTTAAATGTTTATGCGTTTTAAGAAAATTATATTATTATTTTTTCTCAAGATTTATTGGGTTTTTGTGCTTGACCAGACGGGGGCAGTAATGTTCTGTGGAGCTACTTTTAAATGTATATGTTTTTGTTTTTTTTCCTTCTAGACGAGCTGAACTCTGAGTAAAGTAGAACAGGGCACATTGTAAAACATGGTCAGCCCTCATTAATCCACCCACAATCCTAATGACTGATAAGAGCAGTTATCTTTCCCCAATGGAAACAACTCAGCATCTGCAGATCTTTGTGACTAGAATATAAACAACCACACTATCCTACCCCCACACCCTTGTTAAGCCTCTCCAGAAAACTATAAACTAAGCAGAATGCTGGTACAAGCTTACAGACTGAGTATCACAGTTATATAAATGTGAGCATATTAGGTTTTCTTTCTGTAAACTTTCTCTTGACAGAATTCACATAATGTCTTAGTTATCTGTGAGTCGTGCTACTTGTCAGACAAGCACCAGTCTGTTTTTTACTCTTGTTGCTTGTGTTTACATCCCAGTTCATAGATTTCTTTCTGTTGCTCAGAAAATATATGAAAACAAAGTTCATGAGGACATAAATAATTAGTAATATGTGATATTGTGAATGCAGTTTGAACTACACAAACAGGTTCATCCTCATGCTTTTATCTACTTATGATGATGTGATGGCAGCACGGTGGTTAGCACTGTTGCCCCACAGCAAGAAGGTCCTGAGTTCAATTCCACCATCAGGCCGGGGTCTTTCTGTGTGGAGTTTGCATGTTCTCCCCGTGTTTGCGTGGGTTCTCTCCGAGTACTCCGGCTTCCTCCCACTGTCCAAAGACATGCAGCTTGTGGGGATAGGTTAATTGGATAATCCAAATTGTCACTAGGTGTGAATGTGCGAGTGAATGTGAGTGCGAATGGTTGTCTGTCCCTGTGTGTTGGCCCTGCGACAGACTGGCAACCTGTCCAGGGTGTACCCCGCCTCTCGCCCTATGACAGCTGGGATAGGCTCCAGCGCCCCCCGCGACCCTGAAAAGGATAAGTGGAAGCGAATGGATGGATGATGATGTGAGAAATGAGCTTTCCATAATTTTAATACTAAAGCAGTAGAATACCATTCAGATAACAGCACACAGGTGACGTCCATTAATGTTACAACGGGTAATGGTGTCATTTTGTCCGCACGTGCAGCTACAGGAGGGGCAAAGGTTGACTTCTGGTGACGCTGTCACTCGTTATAGCGGCGGTTCTTAGACTATGGCGGGTCACACTAATGGGCCACGGATAATCAGGTGAAAAGTATGAAGTGAGACTAAGGTGTCTGACCATTATTTAAGTAAAGTAAGTATTTGAGTAAAAGTTTGAGAGCTACTGTAAAGGCAAATAAATAAATAAATAAAGGAACTGAGGGTTTAACTGAACACTGAGGCTGATTAACGTCTGTGTCGAATGTATGGAGAGCCTACAGTGTGGGTGATGTCGTTGCCAGCATTTGTATCTGCACATGGTGTGACTGCATTGTTCTACTGTTTGCAGGTGACTTTCTCTTTTCAAGTTGATCGATTCTCTTCCATTTCAATAGCTGGAAATACGTAGGTGTAAACTGATTGATTGATAATACTTTATTCATCCCGAGGGAAATTGGGTTAGGGCTGATGGTGCTAAGACACTGATTCATGATTGTTTCTACATTTCTTTTAATATTATTGGAGATTTGATTGAAGTCAAATTTGTTAGTAGATTAGCTGATGGTGAAATTCTGGTCCAGTACCATCCTTATAAAATTGCCTTAATTCCTCAAAAACTGAATTGATTTGCATCAGTTGGCAATGTGTGCTTAAAGCATTCCAATCTGATCCTTTCCGAATAAGGGAAACTCAGTCTAGACATATTCTCACTTTGACAATGGAAACAAAATAACCTCATTAATGAAGAAAAATTGCTCCCCCATGTACCAGATGTCTATGGACATTATTTTGTGGATTAAGTCTCTTTTAAAAATAAATCTGAATTGAGTTGAAAAGAGAAAGGTTGGCATTTCAGGCCTTTACACTAACACGAATTCAACCTAATTTCAGCCATTCATCCATATCCCACTGAGCAATTTTCTGTTGATTATGGGTCTGAAAGGGTGTGTAAATGGTACAGAGCTGTCGAGATTAAAATCATGTTCATTGTGGTTCAGAGGTGAAAGTTTAGTAGATGTCTAGATCACACATAAAGCTACTTTCAGGTGCTCCTTATTCACAATGGGTCACCACAGCAGTTATCTCCACACGCTTAATCTGGCAGATTTTTGCAGCAGATGCCCTTCCTGACACAGCTGCCCAAGAGATTGGTGTTTCATATGAGGGGTCTTTCACCTGTTAGGCAAATATGTAACTACAGTTTTAAATCCAGTCTTTGTCCAAAGCAAAGCATGTTTCCCATGGGGTTACGCCTATACTGCATGGTGAGCTTATTTGCATGGAAGTCTGGGAATTAAAAACTTGTGGTTCCCACAATAGTAAGCATGATGTGGCTGTGGTTAGATCTGCTGCCTTGTAGTCTTGAAGACTGCAGAGAAAATGTTTCCTTCAATTTTTTTTTTTGATAAAAAGGCTTTTGTTTAGATGCCCATCAAAGTTGTCTTCTACATCTTTTCACCTAACTTCTGCTAAGTAGAAGGGAGATATTCTCAATCTCGTGACATAAAATATAAAGTTGTAATAGAGGAGCTGTTTGGTGCTTGGGTCTATATAGTTTCCTTCTGAAAGACAACACAGATATGCATGTAGGATAGATCGATCGGTAGGTAGGTGGGTAGGTGGTGATTTATGAGTAATA